TGTTACACCCGAAAGAAGGAGCGGGTTGATGTGGCTTTGACTCTCAGACATGTTATGCAGGAGTTTGGCGAAGTTGAGTGATGAATTGAAAAAGACGAGGGGTTCAACAAGAAAAACCAAGACCGTAGGCGTAAAAAGAATCAAGAAAGAGTTTTTTTGATGTATTTCAAGAAGAAATCGGTTGAGATCTGGCTGAGATAATCGCAGAGGTAGTTTGAGTCCTACTAGCGATTGAGCAATGAATAACCAACAAGGAGAGGTGTGTCGGCAAAAAACAGAGATGGTGGCTGTCAAGAAGTTCAAGAAAGAATATTTTTGAAGGTTTTCTTGAAGAATTTGGTCAAGAAACGGATGAGTTATTCAGAGTTGGGGTTCGAGTCCTACTAGCGTTCCAGCGGTGATTTAAACAAAACGAGAGGTCCAGCGGCAAAAACGGAGAGTGTGAGGGTGAAGAGAATCAAGAAAGAAGATTATTAGTGTTTTGAATGAATAAAATGGTTGAGAAACGGCTGAGGTATTTAGAGTTGAAGTTTCAAACCTACTAGCGTTCCAGCGGTGATTTAAACAAAACGAGAGGTCCAGCAGCAAAAACGGAGAATTTGGGGGTGAAGAGAATCAAGAAAGAAGATTATTAGTGTTTTGAATGAATAAAATAGTTGAGAAACGTCTGAGGTATTTAGAGTTGAAGTTTCAAACCTACTAGAGTTCCAGCAATGATTAAAAAAGAACGAGAGGTCCAGCGGCAAAAACGGAGACGGTGGCGGTCAAGAGGATCAAGAAAAAAGTTGATTGATGGTTTTCTTGAAGAAATTGGTCAAGAATTGGCTGAGTTATTCAGAGTTGGGGTTTGAGTCCTACTAGCGTTCCAGCGATGATTTAAAACAAACGAGAGGTCCAGCGGCAAAAACGGAGACGGTGGCGGTCAAGAGGATCAAGAAAGAAGATGATTGATGGTTTTCTTGAAGAATTTGGTTGAGGATTGGCTGAGTTATTCAGAGTTGAAGTTTGAGTCAATTGAGAGTCCCAGTGATGATTAAAAAAAAACAAGAGGTCCAGCGGCAAAAACGGAGACAGTGGCGGTCAAGAGGATCAAGACAGAAGTTGATTGATGGTTTTCTTGTATCAATTGGTTGAGGATTGGCTGAGTTATTCAGAGTTGAAGTTTGAGGCCTAACAATGACTTAAAAAAAAAACAAGAGATGGATCAGCAAATTTGAAGAGTGTGGCGGTGAAGAGCATGAAAAATGGGTGCTTTTGGTCGTTTTTTTGTGAATTTTGGTTGAGGAATGGCCAAGTTATGATTTTTTGAATTTTAGAGTGTACCTGCCAGTTGGAAATGAGCCGGAGGTGAATCGAAAAAATTCGAGTCCGTGGGGTCGAAGAGGAGAAAAAATGGGTGATTTTGGTATTTTTTTTGTTGATTTTGGTTGATTTTTGACTGAGTTGTGGTGTGTTGAAGGTTTAGAGGGGGGGTGATGTCCTTTTTTGATTGTGGTGAGTGGTTTTCTTGTTTGGTGCCTGCAGGAAAATTTTCAAACTTCATGCAGGCACTTGTGGTACGCGCACGCGCCCCCTGGAGGCGAAATTATGCATAAATTATGCATAATTAATAAATGCGCGTTTAAACGCGGAATGCGTGTGTGCTGCGGCGCAGCAAAAGCGCGTCAAAACGCGGAAAATGCGGGTTTTTTTATTAAGGCCCAAAATTAATGGCAAAAAAATTGATTAAAAAACCGTGTTTAAACGCGGAATCCGTGTGTGCTGTGCCGCATCAAAACCGTGTCTAAATGCAGAGAAACTGCCTTTTTTATTAAGGCCCTTATTATACGGCTTTTTTGTCACTTTTTTTTTTTAATTTTTTTTTGCTTTTCTGATACTTTTTTGGTCCAATAATTTTGTCTTTGTTTTGATTTGTTTTTTTGTCCAAAATCTTTTTCTTTGCTATTTTCTTTCAGATAAATTCATTACCATATTTATAGCTCTGGGAAATGATTCAATATTCACAAGACAAAAAGTAAAAATGATGTTAAGGGGAGTCTGACATCTTGCTGTGGCAAGTCTCTGGGATGTTACAGAATGGAACTGTGGCTTCACAGGATTGCAACTACAAAAGATATTGTAGTTTGCATATGCATGGGCATCACAATGGCCCTTTTGATCAGTTTGGTTATACTTTTTTTTCAGATGTTAATTGTTTGTTGTGAATCAAGAGTCCCACTAGTCAACGTACCCAAGTGTGACACTGGAGCAAGGATTTCTATAATTTCAAATTTTCAAACTTCAAGGTAAGTGGAAATTTTGAGAAATTTAGGTCCAAAGAAGAAGAAGAAAAAAAGAGATACTTCCAGAACTTACAAAAGATTACATAGAAAGAAATTAGGTTCTTTAGGACTTTTTGAGATTTCTAAAACTTTGGTAGAACTGCTGTTGTCTTGTATCTTAGAATATTTAAGTATGAAATTTTTTAGCCTTGAGGAATCTTCCCTTGTGGCAAATTTTTTAGCCTTGAGGAATCTTCCCTTGTGGCAAATTTTTTGTTTCATCTTTATCATCATCACATCTCATCTTCTTTTCTCTTCTTATAGTCAAAGAAAACAAAACCTTCCAACCTCAAAACAAACTTTACAAGATAATACAAAAACTTCAAAGGCAAAAGTGGATATGGTGTGTCTGGTGTAAGGTTTGGGTCCCCTTTGGCTTTTCCTGAACCCAGGCTTTGCCCATTGCTTACACAAAGCCCCAGTCTCCGCACCTTCAACTGGGAGATATTCCTCATCCCTGGGAGAAGAACATAAGGATTAATGCAGGCATGTTTCATTTTTCAATTTCCCTAGTTGCTGGCAAGGCACAGATGCGGTCTGCCCTCTAGGTTTCAACTAACTTATTTGTTTCTCAAGTTCACACACTAGTCATTGAATAGATTCCCAGCAGTGATGATATGGATCTGACCTCAAAAAATCCCAAACATTCTTAGAAAGGGAATACTTTTTGTTTTCTTTTCTCCTTTCTTTTTTTCAGTGATACAATTACAAGTTTGATTTTCAAAAGAGAATTTTTTTTCTAAGAATTGGAACTTGTGTTGAATTGGCCATAAGTGGTCAATGGGAACTCATCCATTGGTCCAAATTTACTGTATTCAATTGAATTTGGCTGATGGTTATGTGTAATAGCTGCCATTCTACGCCATCAAAGCTGCACCTGTTTATCATAATTTGGAAATCCACAAGAAGGCAGCCAATATGAGAATGGTTGGCTTGTGTCTGTTGATATGTTTGATATTATTATCAATAATTTTGGTCCTCAATAGTATCATTTTGTTTGGTGTTACTTGCAAAGGTTAAACAAAACCAGATCTGATGGGGAGGCTACTGTGAGCCTGCTGTCAGTTATGACATGCAGCTTTACTGCTTTCAGAAAATTTGATTGAGTACAGTTGGACAAGAAAATGAACCTTTATTTTCAGTAAGTTGCATCAGCCTCTGGTAAACCACCATTTATCATCATCCAAAAAGATGGAGCTAAAGGAGTCTTATATGTATGGACTGAAATATGTGTTGTTGTTTTTTTAGGAAAAGTTAAAACAGACACCACTGGTCATTTTGATTTCATTCACACTGGTTTAGTGCTTCCAATCTAATTATTTTTTTTCATTATCCTTCTTTCATATTTCTCACCAAAAAAAAAAAAAAAAAGGAAGAAAGGCAAGTTGTTGTGTTTTGAGAAGACAGTCATAACAACACCACTGGTTATCTCAATTTCAACATTTTACTTTCCATTCTTTTCAGTCTTCATTCAAATTGAAAGTGAAATCTAGATTACCAATGGTAACTATCTTCCATGTATCATTCTATGTATCTGAATTCCAATAAAAACAAATATCTCACCAATGTGTTTTTATTCACAAGGAGATGAAATAAATTGAGACATGAAATAGAGTTGATAACTAAAGTTTTCACCCGCTTTGTTTAGTTTCAAGTGTCTGATAGACATTCACAACCAAAAAAAAAAAAAAAAGTAAAACTCTTACCCTACACTGTTTGATGATTTTTTCAAAATCTGGAGGGGCCTCTCCGCGCTGTCCAGGCTGAGCAGGTACTCTATAGTGCATCAAGCTTGCAAGTCCTTCACTGCCATCTAAAGTCTAAACTTATTCACAGGCCAGATGTCATCAAGTCATCTCACTGTACAATGCACCACAACCTTGGTTCTTGTTACACCACTACCCTTCAAGCCACTCCTCAAAGGCTCAACGTGGATAAGTTGAGAAACCATCTTGTTAGGATTTTCTAATGAGCCACCCATGTAAATAATGAGGACATATTCACAAATCAATAATACCATGTATCTCTCAAGTTGATCATCATCAGTCTTGTATCTTGAGATGTGATTTGGGTGGTCGACCATTTTTCAACTGATATTTGATGTCTCCCTCTTTTTTTGTCTACAATCTTGAAATTGTCGTTCAACTTGGATTGATCTGTATGTGCATCAATACTGAACAAATCCATTTGTTTACATAATATGGCCTCAATATCCTCCTGATTCTTTTGATCTCTTGGCTAAACAATCTATGGATCGTTCACCATTTTTACCTCTTCTTTTGATCTGAGGATGGCACTGCACAAATTAACTCACCGGGCAAGCCAGTCCGATGAATGCTTGGACTGACGTTGCCCGACGAGTCCTGTTGTGCACCACCACTGGGCTGCTGTACTCGTCGGACAAAGTCTGTCCAAAGACTCGTCGGACTGGCTTGTCCGACGAGTTAGTTTATGCAGTGTGGCTAATGATGAACGCAACATCGTATCAAGGAGAGGACAGATGTTCCATCTTTGAACGAGCCAATAGCAATGTCTGTCGAAGAAAAGTGAGTGTTTCTACAAACTGGGGCATTTTTATCTATTTCACAACAAAAAAGAAAATAACCGTACCAAACAAGAAAATAAGAAAGAGAGAGAGAAAAAAGGGAAAAACAATTGAGAGACCTGGATGGCTGGTGATCATTCTCCGAAGAGTTTCTTGGCTCTTTTCAAGACACTATCTTTTTTGGGATCTGTATGAGAGCGGGATAAGTGTAGAAAGAGGAGAGGAAGACATCATGAATACCCATTTTGGCAAAAAAGACTTCCATGAATCCTGAAGATCCATTTCAATTCACAAAAGGGTTTTACAATTTGTTTTCTTTCCCCCCCCCCAAAAAAAAAGAGAAAGAAAGACGGACCAATTAGATCTCCCAGAGTGATGTTTTTATCTGCAATGACACCCTCGACTTGATGGAACTCAGCGAGATGGGTAGCATTGGCTGCCTCATTTCTGAACACACGATCGATACTAAACACTTGACTAGGTTTGAAGTCTTCCCAATTCTTTTGACATTCCTGAGCAATCTGGTAGAGCATATTTGCCGAGACTGAAGTAGTGTGTGTACGGAGAACTAGTTTAGTGGTTTCCGATTCTTGAAACGGGGCTTGATAACCAATCGAACCGTGGCCTCCTGACTCGTGAATTTTCTTAACCTTCTTGTAATACTCGGCTGGGAAATCAGTCGATGCCACCGGGTCTGGTAAAAAAAGCAGGACAGGTGAGCACACGATTTTCCAAAGTAGAAAAAAAAGAGAAAATAAACCCTGACCTTTCAGATAAAAGGTATCTTGGGATTCGCAAGCTGGATGTTGTTGAGGAACGAAAAGGGAATCAAAACACCAAAAGGAAGTTTCGATATACTTATCTGTCGGCATTTCCGTGAATCTAATTTGTTCGATCAAACATCAAAAGAATTTCTTTTGACTTCAAGAAGCAGTATTATCATTATGGGTGTTTAAAACGAACCCCATTTCCAAGAATATGTTCCGAAACTCTTCCCGGACTTTCATCAGGGGATGTAGAGCCCCAGCATTTGGTGCGACTCCTTCAGCGTTAGAATTGTAAGGCTTGAAAGTGGCCGTCTTCCATCTCCCACTATTTGATGACAAGAACCAGCAACCACTTTTTTTGTTAGTTGTACCTTGGTGACTGGTAAGATGATAGAGTGACTGACGATGCCAAGAGTTTGACTGTTAGATCAGTCTCCGGTCGCTCAATGACAGTTGAAAACTTTGGCCCTTTCTCGATCGAGAAATAAAGGTATTTTCTGTTTGGATTGAGTGAATGTTAATTCCTTCCACTAGTCAGTTTTCTAGACAATCCATTTGTATGTAAATGAAGAGGCTTACCGTTTCTCGCACAAATTTTGTTTACAATAATCTGCCATACCAGATCCTTTAGGATCATCGGTGGGTAATGAACCAGTTTGTTCGATCAAGACGAGATCCAACTTAGTCTGATCGATAATTTGATCTGCGGTCATCTGGATTAAAACTTGATTACATTGATGTTGGATTGTCTTTTTTTTTTTTTTTTGATATAACACAAGATTGTAAATATTTTTGGTCAACTCACTGCTTGGATGAATCCCCCATTGGACCTCTTCTTGATCCACTTATTCCGAAACGCTTTCCCCTGTCCGATCTTAGCAGAATCTTTGCCCAGCGTGCTTTGCAACTGCGCATCAGTAAGCCTTCCTCTCCAAGCGCTTCCCAGACACAATATTCTTGACTTCCAGATGCTGCTACGGCTTGTCCCTCGGGAGTCAGTACATGGTTTTCAATGTTATGAGTCTGATAGAGGACCATCTGGGGGAATAATGAGATCGGTTTGAGGGAAGGTCAGCTTTTATTTTAATCAACAAGATTATTATGATTACCTCTTTTGCGACCAAACTGTCCAAGGCACTCTTGATAGCAAGTTGATATTCAGAGGATGAACTCTTGGCGTCTGCTTCTGATCCATTCGGGCAACTCAGCTTCCATGTGTCAGGGATCGGAGAACAGACAGGATGTGTTGCTGGATGTCATCGGCATCGAAATTATTCATGGCTTCGTTTTTTTTCTTTGGTTTGGTTTCCTGGAGAATGACTTGGCAATTTGCTGGGGTCGATTGAGAATTTGAGCTGGGAGTGGGCAAATTCAGTGCAGCCAGACCGTTACCGCACCCCGAGACGTTCAAGCTTACCGCCGCCCGAATCAATAGGATGTTCGAGGTCAGAAGCTCGGGTATCGGGGGTCCAAGCCCAAAGTGGTGGCTCAACTCCTTCGAAGTTGGAGTCTCTTCGCCAAAATTCAACCGACCATCATCAAACTATTTACGACAACTGCACCCTAGTCGACCTTTGATCAGAGCCTCCCTTTGTGTGACCGTCCTAGCCGACCACATCCTCCTACCAAAAATCATGGAACCCGACTTTCATCCGTCGGTTCAACAGCTCAAAGCGATCCTTCAAGACCCAAAAGATTCCTGCACGTTTGTATCTACCCACGGGAAAAACCCTCAGCTCATTCCTTACCTGATCCAATTACTCTGGTGCCACTGCAAACGCTCACCTTTGTCAGATTATTGCAATCAGAGACAAATTGAGCTAATGAGCCATTACTATTATCATGGTCTCTATGGCAATATTAAGTTTTGATACACAAACAATCACTGAGTGGGTAATATTATCAAGCAAATGAGGTTTCAGCTGTTGGTCTCATGTAGAGATCAAGCTGGACAAGTCCCGTAGAAATATGATATATATTTCTACTGGAACAAAGGAATAGATACAAGAGATAGAGGAAAAAGAAGAAGATAAAAGATTGTTTCATTTTTCATTATTTTGTTTAATTGTAGTTTCTTATATTCTTGGAGAATATATTTTAGCCGGTAAGTAAACACTCAGGCCTCTGTTCCTGAGGAAGAGGATCAATCAAATATTTATGGATTTTGATATTATTTTATCCAGTCAAATAACGAGGAAGGGTTATTAGAATCAAACCCATTTATTTATTTATTTTAGATATTTCATTTAATTTTTTTTATTAATGTGAAGTATCAAGATTGATTTTTTATAGGAAGTGATATCAACTAGAGTGGACAAGAGAGAAGAGAGAATCATGATAATATATGATACTTTTAATCTAAATCAATAAAGTGATAACTTACTTAAAGAGATCCAAAGCAATGTAAAAGATGAAGAAGGGTAATAGTTTGGAGAGTTGGGTTAGGGTGATCTGAGGTTAGAAAGAATAAGGCAAGATTCAATCAAAATCTGTTAATTCAAACTAATTTTGTAGACACTTAAATAAGAAAGGATTCAGATAAAATAAGACTACTTGAAAGGATTATTTTCAGAAGAGTTATTTTAAGTAATTACCTTTTTATTTGTGGAGGTCTCAAAAGTTAATTCTGAGAAGTAAGAAGTATTTTTTGCTGAGGAAGGAGGAAGAACTATTCCAGCTCCAAGGGTTAAGCTTTTATACCCGAAATTCTTCCAAATTTTGGTAAAGCTTGCATTGATCTTGATCTAATCATCTTGCAGATCTGAAGTCATGTCTTTTGAAGATTTCTTTTGATATTCAAAGGATTTGGTTTAGTATACTTTGTTTGTCAGCTTGCTACTATGGCAGAGACAACCTGTCATAGCAAAATAAAAATAAAATTACATAAAAAATCTAAGAATAAAGTAAAAATATTACATAAGTAAAAGAAACTAATTTACTTATGTAAACAATATAAAAACACTTAAAATATATAAATAACTTAGAAAGAATAAAGAAAACCTTAATTATTATTACAAATTCTGAATCTACGTACAATTTAACCTAGGGTACCTCAGCCAAAGGTACCCCTAATTGTAACCCCTTCATCCTGTAATACTCACTTAAAAAATTAACAGGTACCCATGGATCACGGGCACCTGAATAATTATGCATTGTAAATAACAATATGCATATACTCCAAATCTTGTCTCAGATTTGGAGTGTTGTGTATAGTTTAGAAGATAGACCAGTGTGGCGTGTACTATCTCCAAGCCCGCGTGCCGCGTAGTCATGCTGCGCACTGTTGACAGGCGCGCCTGACTACAATTGAGCCCAAGGATCAAGCCCCCGCGCATGCTAGGTATGCATACCCGCCTTGGATACATGCATAACCCCTCTGGGTTACCAGTATCCAAGGAAATGGGCCACAAAGCCCCAGAAACTCACTGTGCACGTGTCAACAAAGCCCCCACACGTGTAATAAAAATATAAACAAGCTAGAATATTCATGAATACACTACAGTAACTCTGAATATTCCATCTTCCAGTTTGTAGCACGTGTAACAAGCCCCAGAAACCAGTTCTGGCATATTCTGTGGCCCATTTCCTTGGAAATGACACCACGTAACAGACTAGCCCTTGCCCACAGGTTCCCAAGGTATATTCTTGGTTCAAATAAATTCGTGCATGACCCCTTGGGGCTTCTAGAATATTATCCCCAAGGTTTCAGCCCTTGTTGCGTCACTAAGTGGGCTAAAATGGGCCAAAAAGCGCTCCCAAGTCCTACTAGGCTCCCCTGAGCAACCCCTGAGGCCTTCCACAGGTATTTAAAGGGCCTTCTGACCGCCCAAATAATGATCCCCCAGCTTTACAATACCATATAGAAACATACTTACCATTTACAAGTCCCCTACACTTGTAATTAGCCTAGTTACTACTATTATTGCTGTTATTAAAGCCTCAAAATTCCTCAAGAAACTCAACAGTTATCACCCAGCACCCAAAATCAACCTTACTGAGCGCTCCCAACTGTCCAGTTTCCATATTGAAGATCCTCAAGACCCCATAGGATTATTACTAGTAAGTAATAACCCTTTTCTTGAGATTTTCTCCTTAAATTCTTCCTGGGATTTAAACCACACCTGTTCACAGGCCCCAGTGTTCCAGGTACCTAAATCCTCTGCTTTTTGCACGATACCTTAGAGGGATTAAACCACCCCTGATTTATCAGGCCCCTCTGGTTTTATTTATATTAATTTTAGGGGCTTGGAAAAACGACTCCTAAAAATTAGTCGACGACTCCCGTTTTTGTCGGGAGGTCGTCGGACGGGAGTCGTTCTTCCAATTCCCCCCAAAAAAAGGGGAGTCGTCGTCCTAATTTCAATGGTGATTTTTTAATTTTTTTTATTAAAAAAATGGGAGTCGCCCGCCTAAAGGGCTGGAGTCGTCGTACCAATTTAGCCAAATATTTTTTATTTTTTTTCATTAAAAATTTTGGGAGTCGTCCGCCTAAAGGGCGGGAGTCGGCGCCCCAATTTATCCAACTAATCTAATTTTTTTTATTAAAAAAAAAGGGAGTCGTCCGCCTAAAGGGCGGGAGTCGGCGCACCAATTATAACCAATATTTTAACCTTTTTTCTGCATTAAAAAAACGGGAGTCGTCCAACTCAAAACAGGAGTCGTCGCCATATAGCGTCCCTAAAAACTCAAAAAAAAGTTCAGCCACTGGGGCCCCGCCCCAAAGGCACTTTATCAATGATTAAAAATTAGATTCATTGAGAAAAACAAATTCAAGAAATAATTGAAATAAATTGATGAGATGTTGAGAACAGTAAACAAAAAAACAATGAGAAATGTAAGAAAAAAACAGGGATAAAAGAATTCAATTGATGAGAAATATAAGAAAAAAACACAGTGAAAAAAGGACAGAGGAAAAAAAATAAAAACTAAAAAAAGACACAGGCAGAAAAAAAAAACTAGCAGTGTTTCATTGGATTTTCAATTTTCCTCTCTACAGTCAATTTGAAACAATCAGAAAAGATGGCTTCCCATCCCCAAGCCTCTTCTGATGCCTTTTCTTTCCAATCCTTCATGAGCTGAGGGGCCGGAAAGAGTCTTGGGTTATGTAACTGCAAAGGGACAAAATGAGAAAATTCATAAAGAAAAGCAATAAAAAATGGGGGGTTGGAATTGGGGGGGCAGAAAGAAGGGAGGAAGGTCTGGCAAAAGGTGTTAGAAAAAAAGAAAACAGGCCTCTCAAAGGCATTTGCCATTACCTCACCCATTGAAGGCATGGACATCCAATGAGCCTTTGGACAAGGTGCTGGTGAATCAACCATGATACAAGCCAAAGCCCCCTCAACTTTGTGGAACACTTTCCAATACCAATCAGGCCGACGAACAATTTCGTTATACATCTCGTATCGAACCGCCATATAATCTCCCTGCCCACGGCCCAACCCGTAAGCCACAGCCCGAAATCCGCAGTGACCATCTGATCGAACATCCACAACATCCCGGACTTCAGGTTGAATGATTTTTGGTAAATAATCAATGTAATCGAGATCGGACAGGGGGATTGGTAGATGGGGGTTTGCTGGAGGCGGCGGAGGCTCTAGATGCACCAAGGGGGCTGGTTCGGTGGGAGGGTTGGGGGACGAGGGCACGGAAGAATCGGCGGAGGAATTGATCTTGAGCTTCTTCTTGTTGGCTTGAACTGGGGAGGATCCAGGTGCGGCTTCTTTCCCTTTCGTCTTGGGGACCATAACAACCGGTTTGGTGTCCCCTTTCCTGACTGGTTGAATCCTCTTCTTTGGGGCCTCTTCTTCCTTCTTCTTTTTCCCGTCGTCCTTCTTCTTTTTTTCCTGCTCTTTCTTCTTCTTATTCTCTTCTTTGGTCTTCTGTTTCTTGTTCTTCTCCGCAGCTTTTTCTTCAAGTTTCCTCTTTTTTTCAATGTGTTCGAATTCCGACGGGTCCCGTGTTGTTGATTTGGGTTTGTTCAGAGCTCCTTTGGGTCTACCTCAAGTTGATTGCACCTGCTTGGGTAACTGAACGTCGACCACGGTGGCAGATCCATCCAGAAGTCGAGAGATTGCGTCCAGCTGTATGGATAACGTGCTCGGGTTTGCTTGGAGGAGCCTTTGCTTGACGGATTCGATCTTGTCAAGGGCTTGTGGGTTTTTTTGTTGCGGATCGTTTGTTGGTTGAAGATCCTTTTTGATTGATCAAAAGAAAGCATATTGTTATTATTGGAGAGGAGAAAAATTAGTACTTGGAGGGGAGAAAATTTAATAAACATACATGAATATGCCATTGTTGGTGAAAGTCTTCCGGTTCCAACTTTCCCCCTGACCGAGCCAACTCTGCAAGGCGATGTTTACACGGAATACCTGTCCGGAGTCAATGAAAGCCGTTACAATGATCATTCTTCCCAACATTTGCAGATATTCGCAGGTTGTTTTGAGCCTTCCTCAGAGCGAAATGGGTGATCCGGCCAAGGCAATTGTCGAACAGGGCACCAAGATTGATGAGAGCGTTGATTTTTTCCTGGCGGTGGCTTGTGCTTATCTCGTGTACTTGTTTTTCAATTGCGTTGGTAATCATTTTGATGGTGGAGTTGAGGGATTGATTCGGACCGAGAAGATGTGATTTGACAAATGAGTGCGACGATTCTATACGAGATGTTGTCCGGTGATCGAAATGGGTAACTTCCCTTGTCCAGGCGTTCGCATATTTCTCCGCCACTGGGAGCCAGTTTGAGCGCATGTACTTGCCAAATTTGTCGCCATAACTTCCAGCAAATCGGTCGAACGCAGCCCTAAAGTCGCCAGTGGTCGTGATGTTGATGACATTCTTCCAGTGTTGGATCATATCGGCCTCTTTCTTCTTGTCCTTGATCATTTTGGCGCCGTGAGAAACCAAGTTTTTGTTGATGTGCCAGGTACACAGTAGATGCTTCGTTGTGGGGAAAACGGAGTCGAGACTGTTAATAAGAGCTTGTTCCCGGTCGGTCAAGACTACCTCAGGTATCCGAATGTCGTTGCTGGTGAACACGTTGAGCAGGGATTGAAGAGCCCATTTGTAGTATGGTTCGGTTTCTTCATGAAGGAAAGCAAAGGCAACACTGAAGGACTGGTTAGATCCAGTGACGCCGGCAATGTGCAGGAGGGGCATGCGATACTTATTTGTCTTGTAGGTGCAATCGAGGAATAAGACATAGTGGAAATGAC